CATAGTACTGGATGATTCACTCAGGAGGCCATTTGTTATCTTTCGGATTGCCAATTTGTAAGACACCCTGTTTTTGTCTACTTAATTTTTCTTCATATCTTGGGACTCCCAGTTTTTCACCTTGTCTAAAGGGAAGCAAGAAGAAGGATGGTCTGATTGAGCCCAGTATTTTAGACCAAAGTGGCTGCTGGGCAGTACTGTATATTCCCACAGATCCAATATAGCCCCCGGATGCCTGCCAATCTATGTTTGTGGTAAGATTGTGCCAAGATTTCTGGAGATAAGAGAAGTTGGCCAGTGGGTGGGACTGGAATTCTGTGCTGTTTGTAGCTCCCCACCATTGGGTCGTTTAGGCAGTGTCATTGTAAAAATTTGGTCATAAACAAGTTAGATCCCCTACCAGGGTAGAGAACTGACCCTTTGGGCAGGAGATACAGTCATTCCCAATGATAGAAGGTTTTAGGAGCCAGATGCTTTTCCTGTGATTGGGGAAGGCAGTCTCATTAAAGGGCACCCATGGGTACAGCTCTCTTGCTTCTCATGGCCAGTGGTCTCCCATGTTATTTCCTCCACAAACACAGCATGAAGTGACATTCAGTGTCTGGGCTACAGACTCAGCCAAAGAGTAATAAGTTTTTGGTCTTGTCAGATAGAGGGAACTCACTTTTCATTTCCTCTTAAAAGGAATGAAAGACTTGGTAAGAGGAACTGTCATGGCTGATAGTTACCAACAAGGTGCAGTAGTGTCCCGGGATCATATCCCTTTCCATTTATCTTTATTCTGACCTTAATGTCCCTGTTCCCAATCTGAAGGCTTAAATAAAATAAAATTTACAGGATTACAATTGCCAAGGGTAGAGTCGAGTGTGGGTGTTCCCTTGTGGAGGAGAGCTGAGTGTCCTACTGTTGCCAGTAGCCCATGAGACACAACTCCAGTAAATGCAATAATGCCAACCTGTGCCACCACATGACCCACCACATGGGTCCGGGCACATGTATTTACCATTTAACATGTAGGTTCTTTCCAAGGCTAGGCCTCCATGGCCACAGCCTATAGCACCATATCCACCCTGGTCTATGGCCATGCATACGTCAAAAACACTGACACTGGCTTATCAGGATTGAACACCACCTGGGTGTTGTTAATGAGGTCCCTAATTTCTCCCCCACCACCGCCAGAAAGCACCATCAATCTCCGCACCTCCAACCGTTGTTCCCAAGGGCTGTAGGGGGAGTTGAAGCAGACATGCTGATTACCATGGGAGCACACCAATAGATGGTACGGTTGTGGTTGTATGACCCAATGACAGTACCTAAACAAGAGTGGTAAGTATGGAAAAGCAAAGTTCTGGTGACAACAGTTCCTGCACAAGTAAATGCATACATAGGTCACAGTTTGAGATCTGGGAGTTCCTGAGCAAGGAACTGATTAGATTCAACAAAAATTGAAAAAATCCATCCCTGGAGGAAGAAGATGACTCCTCAACTTTCTGCAGTATGTAGACCAATGATCTTCTGGAGTAACTAAAGCAGGGTTGTCATCCTGTCTGTGGTCCTCTGCTGTTTCCTGGGAAGCAGGGTCCTGCTTAGGAAGGGCACAGATGTTCCAGATGGTGACCTTGCACAGTAAAGGTGAATCAGGGATACACTCCCAGTCAAGAGATGCTGGCTTTACTCAGCTGTGGTAGATCCAAAGAGCAATGTCTGCTACTTTAACTGCAGTAAGGGTAGACAAAATAACCAAGTCTCTCTAATGGGGCTTTAATGGTTGGATATTCCATTCCTTTACCCTGACAGCATCCCCTGGCCTGTAGGTGTGCATGGGAGTTGTCAGAATGACAGGAAGTCTCACCTGGACCCCGTCGTTAATTTTGAGAGACTCAAACCAAGGGCCTGAATCTGCTGTGTCAAGGTGAGGTCACATATTTCTTTGAGATCCCCCATATAGTCTTGATTGAGGGTGGGCATCCATAAAGGATTTCAAAGGGTGAGAGCCCTATACACTTCATCGGATTAGATCTAATCTTCAGTAATTCTATGGGTAGTAATTGATCCCACTGCAGAAATGTCTCATGACACAGTTTTCCCAACTGTAATTTTAAGGTTCTATTCATGTGTTCCACTTTTCCTGAACTCTGGGAGCAGTAGTTCATATGCAACTTCCAGTGGATTCCTAAGCCCTTAGCTATCAGTTATACCACCTCAACCACAAAGGCTGTCCCATTATCTGACCCAATAGACACAGGTATTCCAAACTGAGGGATAATTTCCTTTAGCAGATATCTGGCAACCTCCTGGACTTTTTCAGTCTGCTTGGGGAAGGCTTCCACCCATCCTGAGAAAGTACAGACTAACACCAACAGATATTTGCATCTGTGAGCTTGTAGCATTTCAGTGAAGTTTATGATAAAGTTTTCAAGAGGAGTTCCACCAATGCTGTGCACCTGGGGAGGTGCTCTTGGCCTTTGTTGTTTTTTGTACATAGGCTACATCTTCATCTTTCCTTTCTTATGCTGGAGAGCTTGGGGACATAAAAATGCTGGGCCAGGATGGTCTCGAGGGCTATTTGCCCTGAATGTGTTCCTTCGTGGAACTGCTTGACAAATGTAGGAGTCAGCAACTTGGGTATGGCAATATGGCCATTGGCAAACTTCTACCATCTGTCCAGTAGAAAATTTACCTCCTCAGTCTTAAACCAAGCCTGTTCTTGTGGTGTGTACCATAGGTCCAATTTAGCTAAGGGGCATGGGAACAAGGGAGTTGTTAGGAGAGTCAGGGCTTGTCCCATCATGAGGACTGAGTGCTGCTGAGTTTACTGCCTGGAGGTCCTAAAACAGGCCTGAAATCCTTGGTCTCTGGTTTCTGGACTGGCAATAAGGGGGAGTGTTCCAGAATGACTGACAAGGTCAGAGGATCCCATATTTTAGGAGTCTGTCAAAGTGTTTTTGAATTCTGACCTGGTCCTTGCAGAGGATGAAATATGGTTTTTGACTGATGGGGATGGCTCCTGGCTTTAGTTCCACCACTACTGGAGACACATTTTGGGCCAGACCTAGGGGGATTACCTTCAGCCCATACACCTGAAACCTTGAAGGAAAGCTCAGAAATCTCAAGAGGCCTTCTCTTAGGGTCATAGACCCACAATTCCTCTTCTTGTATAACTGTGAGGATTAGAGTCTTTGCCTCAATTACTCTCAATGTTCAGGCTGCTGTACCATCTGAATCAAAAGCTATCTGTGCCTTCAGTTTGCATAATAAGTCCCTGCCAGTCAAGCCCACAGGGCAATCATGGAGATAAATGAATTCTTGACTTACTTCATGACTCCCAAAATTGCATCGTTTTGCCATTAAGAAGGGGTGGCAGACCTGGTCCCCTGTAGCCTTGATAATAGTTGCATGCCTCTTGGAAAGGGGGAACACTGGCTGGGTCACAAATGAATGTTCTGCACCCACGTCCACCATGAGATCAATGTGATGGCCCCCTAAATTCATTCATACAACAGTTTCCTGTGGACCAGTCTGTCCTAGTTCTCCTTGTAGCCTTCCAGGCCTGCCAGACTGACAATGTTTTCCTCACAAGGGCTGGATCCCTTGTGGGTGAGCTGATATTTTCCTTCAACAATCTAGCCTCTGCCTCTGGTCTGGAGGGCCTTTTTGGAGTCCCTGGCCCATTGTGGACATTCATTCTTCCAGGGCCCTTCTTGATGACAGTAGGCACATTGATTTAACCCTAGTTCCCCCCTACGGTGGGGTTATTCTGGGGGCATTTGTCATCATCCTCAGGTATTCCCTCTGCCTCTGCTTGGATTAGCTCCCTGTGGCCCACCTGACTGTCCAGAAAGGGGTGCTCCAAGACGGTCCACTTTCCTTTTCATCTTCCTGTCGGCCTCCTATCTAGTCTCCTGATCTCAATTGACAAAAACTTTTGTGGCAACCTCCAGAAGCTGGCTAGCACTCATACCTCCAAATTCCTCCAGTTTCTGAAATTTTTGCCTTATGTCTCCCTGGGTCTGTCCAGTAAAAGTGGCATTAATCATCTGCTGGTTTTTGCTGGCTTCTGGGCTGAAGGCTGTGTACAAGTGGAAGGCCTCACACAAATGCTTATAAAACTGGCTGGAACTTTCATGTGGCCCTTGGAGGATTCCTGATGTCTTGCTCATGTTCATGGCCTCTCCCCCTCTTTCCTTCATGCCTCCCAATAATGCCTCCTGATATTTTTCAAGTTGCCACTAACCTTGGTCCTCACTGGGGTCCCAGTGGGGGTCTTCCTTGGGGGAATGGGCCTGAGCATATGCTTGGGCATTTAGAGTGCCTTCAGAGGCACGATCTTCTAAACACTTTAGAGTTGCCTATGTTAAGTGGTGTCACTCTTCAGTATTTAATAGAATCAGAAGAAGCTGTTGACAGTCTGTCCTGTTGGGTTTGTGAGTCTGGATGTTAGACTGCATCAAATCAACCAGAGCCTGAAGCTTTTCTGTGAAGGAGGGGGTGTGATGTTTCCACTTGAGGAGGTCTGTGGTGGTAAAGGGTTGGTAGACAAATATCCATCCTCCTCCTTACATTTGGCCTTCCTGGTCATAATGCATTAGGGTCTTGACCTCCCTTAGGGAAAACTACAAGACAGCAGGTGTCTGAAGAGAGGAGGGGTCCTTCTAGAGACTGGTCAGATGCCCCTGATCAAATGGAGTATGCAGAGTGAGAATTGGCAGAGTCAGAGTGAGCATGGAGTCCATAGGACTCAGGGAGTTCATAGGAGTTGGAGTTCCAGGGACTTCTGGGCCGGATTTTACAGGTGTGATTGTCCCTTGGATTTTCCCATCCAATGTCAGAGGCAGGGATATGGAACTGAATGCTGGTGGCATAGATGGACAGAGTGGCACACAGGGTGGTGGTACTTCCTTGGATTCCTCTCCAGTATAGGCTCCTTTGTTTTCTCTCCACACTTGGAAGTGTGGCCACCTTAGCTACCATAATTTTATAGGCCTCTTCCAGACAGGGCCTTAGACATGTGGGCCATCTGAGGACAGCATCCCGCCAGCATTCAATACAGGAAATTGATCTGCGTGCCCAGGTCTTCTTACAACTACCCCATAAACTTCATTAACCAGAGTTTCATCCAGTGACCCTTCCAGGGTCCACCCTACACAAAGAGCATCGCACTCTACTTCACAATGGGCCTTAAGCTTGTTAGGAGTTAACTTAACTCCATAGTCTCCATTAAATCCCTTTTTAAATTTCTTAACCATACACTCCAAGAGTGTGTTTTTACTCTGATTTCTACACATCTGCACCAAATCTGTAATAGTTTTTTTTTTCACAGACCAAGAAATCTAATGCACCCATACTATACTGTGGAAATGTGGTTTGCGGGAAAAAAGTAACTAGGAATATTCTTGTGTTTTCCTTTTTTAAAAGGAATAGACCTTTTTTCTAAGTACATATGTTATCCCTAACACTGTAAGAAATAGTTATGTTTATTTTTCCACCTTTGTGCATCACAATAACCTTATTCCTCATCTGCCTAATTCAATAAGCAGTAGGAAATTAATCAATTGCAAATAATTTGAGTTTTTGGAGGCAATCACAAAGCAAAATTGTAAAATTTATGAAGGGTCAAGAGGATGTGAGAACTTGTTAGAAACTGACTTGAGCAGATTTATTTATCTTTCGTATTCTTGGCCTGGGAAATTGTGAACTTCCTTAAACCACATAGCATTTGGCATTCTCTAATTATGTGAAATATGAATCTAACTATAAGGATTTATTTTAATATTTTATACCTGAAAAAATATTTCACAAAATTATTCAAAGCAAAGATCATATTTTTAAATGGAAAAATTAAAACAAATATTTATTTATTAATAATATTTCTGGCTTTCTGTTAAAGTTTCAAGATCAGTTTAGTAATTTGCTTTGGATATAAAATACTCAGAGATGTTGTGCTAGGAGCATAACTAAAGTGGTAAAGCTCCTGCCTAGTAAAGCTGAGGCCCTGAGTTCAAAGTCTAGTACTGCCAAAATGAATACTCTGAGTTGTAAATTATGTCCAGTTGATAAATGATGTATTAATTTTATTTCATTTTATTTTATTTTTTGTAACAGATATTGTTATGCAGCTCAGGCTGGCTTCAAATTCATGACCCTCATACTTCAGGCTCTTTTTTGTCACTAACTTCTGGTTTTATTTTTCATGTTTTTCATGTTTAATTATTCTTTCTTTAATTGTTGTATTAGGTGTTGGTACATTGTGGCGTGCTTCAACCTCTTGAGTGCTGGAATTACAGAAGTTCAACACTGCACCTTGCTAGGATGCTTTACTTTTTTTCAGTTTCCTGTACTTTGCACATATCACTGAGTTATAATTTATTTCTTTTCTCTATTAATTATTTTTCAGTTTAATTTTGAATTATTATACACAAATAATGCAAGGAAATTTCAGTATGACAATACCATAAATGCATACAGTATACCTTGAACAAGGTCAACCCTTTCATTATATTCCAATTTCCCCCCACCTCTTCCTCATGTTTTCAAAGAGAGTTTGGTGGGTTTCATTATGCTGTTTTCATATGTATGTATGCAGCCTGCTTCCATTTTCCTAACCCTCAATAACCATTCCTTTATTCCTATAATTTCTTTATTTCTTTCTTTAGCAGTAGTCGGGTTTGAACTCAGGGCTTCATGCTTGGTAGGCAGTTGCTCTACTACTTAAGGCACTCCACCAGCACCATTATTTATTTCCTAAAAATACTCTTATTAACCCCAAATCTGCAGGTTTTCCCATTTTTTTTTATTCACCCAGTGATGAGACTCTAATTTTTTTGGTCTTTTGGCTTTTGAAAAATTGTTTTCGTGGTTTCTTGAGGAGTGAAGATGGTTATAAACTCCTCCAGAGAGACTTTCACTTGGGCATCTTATTAGTAAGGAAGGCCATCCTAGACCAATGTCAGGTTGGTGAGTTGAAGCCTCCTTTAGGACGTGCATTTCCAGAGTGAACATCCTTGACAGTGTAGGTCCCAGCCATTATGTCCTCAGAAAGTATTTTTTCCTCTCCATTTCTCACTTTACTTAAGAGGCCTCTCTTCATTTCCTAGCAGTTGTGGGAAGGATAGTTTCCAGCTCCTCTCTGGTTTGCAGTTTCTTTGATATTAGAGCCTTAGAGCCCCACTGATGACAACCTTAAATTAGAATCCCACAGCATTCCCCACAAAGTGAATTCCATGCCCGTCTTTGCCTGTTATATACCTAATACATACCCTGGACACTGGAAGCAAGAGTTTGTAGTGTTCTTCACCAGTTGTGGATAAGAGTGACTTTGCAGATAGGACATATTTCTGGCACAGATGGTAATAACATTGTCCCAAAAGCTGCCATTTTCTGGTCTTTCCTGCTTTATGTGTTCATAATTCCTCCTTTTTTGTGCTTTCATAACTCCTAAGCCCAAAGATTGGCCAAAATCTTTATTTTTTGTTATTTCTATTGTTTTAATTCATACTCAATTATCTTTTTGTTCTATCTTCCCTTCTTTCTCTTTCCTCTCTTCCAGTTTCCCCCCTTCTTCTTTCCTGCCTGTTTATTTCTTCCCTTCCTTCCTGATCACTTACCTTGTTATTTTCTAGCATGTGTTTTTGTTTTACTGGTATTGTCTGAGATAGCTTACCTATTATTTCTGTAAAACTCAAATAATTAAAAAATATTTCTAATTTAAAACTAAAGCTCTTTGTTAGAGAATCTAGTGGTTTGTGGTTTAGTTTCTAAGTTGCCCTGAAAACTTCTGACTTCTATGCCTTTCCAGTGGCATTTTTACCCTTTCTGTGATGATATTTTTGCTCTTGACTTACATCAGTTACTTTCACAACCCACTGCTCAGGCAATTTGCTTCCTTATTTTCTGATTTCTTTGCATAATCCCTGAGACCCAGTCCAGCTTCTCAGAATTTATAAAGGAGGCCTTTGCAGTGAGAACTGAGCTTCATTAGGCAGGCAGGGACAGAAAGATGGTTTCGCAGACCCAGGTCCTCTTGTCCCTGTTACTCTGAGTCTCTGAGGAGAACTTAAAAAAGTCACAATCACTTCAGAATAATACCTTTTTAATGATTTTATCTGTGCTTTAATTATAGATATGCAAATATTATAAAGTATCTAGATAGATTTTGGAAGATAGAAATGTTTAATTTTTTATACATTTATTCGTATGTGTATACATTGTTTGTGCCATATCTTACCCCCCACCCCGCTTCCAGGCAGAAGCTCTTCTGCCCTCCTCTCCAATGTTTTTGAAGACAAAACAAAGAGATAATAGGAAAGTCTTAGCATTTTGCTAGCTTGAGATGAAGATAGCTGCACAGAGAGATTCCTAGCATCCTTTCCATGCAAATGTGTATTGCAACCAAAACTGGTTCATCTCTATCAGACTTCTTCACTACCTCCCGGTCACCTTCCCATAGTGGTCTCTGACAGCTTAAGATTACTTTATTTGTTCCTTCTTTGGTGGACATATCAAACACTTTCAAGTTTTAGGTTTCCTTCACTTTCCCTCTTCCTTCTGTGTGTGTTCTCCCCAAAGTCTTGTGACCCATGTCCCATAATATTACTGCATTTGTTTTAGGTCTGTAATCTGCCTATGAGGAAGAACATACTATTTTTGGCCTTCTAAGCCTAGCTAACTTTTCTTAAGATGATGTTCTCCAGTTCCATCCATTTACTTGTGAATAACAAAATTTCAGTCTTCTTTGTGGTTGATTAAAATTCCATTCTGTATAAATACCACATTTTCTTAATCTATTAGTTGGTAGTGGGGCATCTTTGCTGTTTCCATGTCTTGGCTATTGTGAATAGCACTGCAATAAACACAGGTGTGCAGGTGTCTTTGAAATAACCTGAATTGAATGCCCTAGGGTATATCCCTAGGACTGGTATTGCTGGATCATAAGACAGATCTATGTTTAGTTTTTGAAGAAGCCTCAGTATTGTTTTCCAAAGTGGTTGTACTAGCTGACATTACCACCAGCAGTGTATGAGTGTTCCTTTTTCCCCACATCTTTGCCAACATTTGTTATTGGTGGTGTTTTTGATGATAGCAATTCTGAAAAGAGTGAAGTTTAGTCTTAGTGTGGTTTTGATTTGCATTTCCTCTATGGACAGAGATGGTAAGCATTTCTTTCATGTGTCTTTTTGCCTTGTTCATTTCTTCCTTTGAAAAATTCTGTTTAGTTCAGTTGCCCATTTCTTTATTGGTTCATTGATTTTGGGGGAGTTTAGTTTTTTGAGCTCCCTGTATATTCTGGTTATCAGTCCTTTGTCTGATATTTAACAAGCAAATTGTCTCCTACTCTGTGGGTGGTCTTTTCAGTTTAGATACCATTTCTTTTGTTGTACAAAATCTTTAGAATTTTATATAGTCCCTTTTTTCCATTCTTTCTTTTAATTGCTTGGTGCTGGAGCTCTTCTCAGGAATTCTTTGCCTACATTTATTGTCTCCACAGCATTCCCTGATCTCTCCTGTACTAACTTCGGATTTTCAGGTCTTATATTAAGGTTCTTAATCCACTGTGAACTGATACTAGTGCAGGGTGATAGGCATGGATCTAGTTTCAGTTTTCTGTGGGAAGATAACTCTTTTCCCAGAAACATTTGTTGAAGAGGCTGTGTATTCTCCATTGTATGTTTTTGATGTCTTTGTCAAAAACAAGTTGGGCATAGCTGTGTGGATTTATATTTGGGTCCTCTATTCTGTTCCACTGGTTTCCATAAATTTTTTGTTTGCTTTTGTTTTTGCTAGTACCATGCTGTTTTTATTGCTTTAGCTCTGCAATATAGTTTGAAGTCGGATATTGTGATACTTCCACCATTGCTCTTTTTGCTGAGTATTGCCTTAGGTATTCAAAGTCTCTTGTGATTTTTCAATCTCTGTGATGAATGTCATTTGGGAATTTGATGGGAATCATGTTGAACATGTAGATCGCTTTTGCTAGTATAGCCATTTTTACTATGTTGATTCTACCAATCCATGAGTATGGGTGATCTTTTCTCCTTCTGTAGTCTTCCTCAGTCTCCTTCAGAGGTTTATAGTTCTCCTTGTCACGGTCATTCACATCCTGTGTTAAGTTTTCTCTTAGGTATTTGAGTTTTTTGAGGCTATTGTAAATGGAATTGTTTTCCTACAGTCATTCTTAATTTGTTCATTGTAGGTATATAGAAAGGCTACTCATTTTTGTGAGTTGATTTTATATCTTGCTACATTCTTGAACCTGTTTATTGTGTTTAGGAGTTTTTGGGTAGATTCTTTTGGGTCTTTGAGGTTCAGGATAACGTCATCTGCAAATAAGGATACTTCTACTTATTGCTGCTTCAATTCCATTTTGTATTATAGGTCTTTTTAGGTGGTTAATATCCTCTTGGTTCAGATTTGGATGGTCATAATTATCTAGAAATTTGCCCATTTCTTCATGACTTTCAAACTTATTGATTATAGGTTCTCAAAGTAGTCTTTGATGATTCCCTGGATTTCCTTGGTGTTTGTTGTTATCTCCCCTTTTACGTTTCTGATTTTATTGATTTGGGTCTTTTCCCTTGTCATTTTAGTCAGATTTGCCAGGGGTTTGTCAATGTTGTTAATTTTTTCAATGAACCAACTTTTTGTTTCATTGATTCTTTGTATAGGTTTTTTATCTTTATTTCATTAATCTTGGCCTTACTTTTATTATTTCTCTCCTTCTGCTTGATTTGGGTTTTGCTTGTCCTTGTTTTCTAAGACTTTGAGATGTAGCATTAGGTCTTTTATTTGAGATCTTTCTGTCCTTTTAATATATGCACTTATGGCTATGAACTTTCCTCTTAGGTCTGCCTTTACTGTGTCCCATAGGTTCTGGTAAGTCATATTTTCATTTTCATTAACCTCCAGGAAACTTTTAATTTCCTCTTTTATTTCTTATATGACCCACTGATCATTGAGCAATATGATATTCAGCTTCCAATTGTTTGCTTATTTTCTGCTTTTTAAAAATTGAGTTCTAGTTTTAATGTATTGTGATCAGATAGAACACAGGGGATTCTTTCTATTTTTTAATATTTACTGAGGCTTACCTTGTGCCATAAGGTATGATCAATTTTGGAGAAAGATCCATGGGCTGCTGAAAAGAATGTATATTGTGTAGAAGTTAGGTTCGTTTTATCTACGGTGTAATTTAGTTCTAGAATTTTTTTATTGATTTTTTGTTTGGATGACCTATGTATTGGTGATAGGGGGTATTAAAGTCTCCCACTCCCACTGCATTAAAATGTATATGTGCTTTTAAGTCCCTTGCAGTATGTTTGATGAAATTGGGTGCACTGACATTGGTTACATATAGGTTGATAATTGTTATTTCCTTTTGGTTTATTTCCCCTTTTATTAGTATGAAGTGTACTTCTTTATCTTGTTTAATCACTGTAAGTTTGAAATCTCCTTTGCCATATATAAGTATTGCTACTCGTGCTTGTTTTTTTTGGTGGGGGGCATTGCCTTAGTAGATCTTCTTCAAGCCTTTTACCCTAAGCCAGTGTTTGTTTCTTTCAATGAGGTAGATCTCCTGTAAACAACAATTTGTTAGATCTTCTTTTTTTAAATCATGTTTGCCAAATGGTGTATTTTGGTGAGAAAGTTGAGTCCATTGACATTCAGTGTTAATATTGATAGGTATTTGATGATTCCTGCCATTTCATTGTTTTTGTTGTTTAAGGGTTTGGTTGTGTGCAGCTGAATCAGTTCTGCTCTGTGATCACTTGTCTTTTCTTCTCCTGTGTTTTGGTACTTCCTGTACTCTTGAGGTTTTGTTTGCTTTAGTCCTCTGTGGTCAGAATTCCTTGGAGAATCTTTTGTTGTGGTTGCTTGGTTGTCATATATGGTTTTAGCTCTGTCTATTGTGGAAGATTTTTATTGCTCCATCTATTTTGAAAAAATGATAGGTTTTTCTGGATAGAGTATCCTAGGGTTGAAGTTATTTTCATTCACTGCCTGAAATACCTTACTCCTTGCCCTTCTTGCTTTTGAGGTTTCCATTGAGAAATCTGCTGTGATTTTGATGGCTTTACCTTTATATGTTATTTATTTTTTCTCTCTTACAGTCTTCAGTATTCTTTCTCTATTCTCTGTGCTTGTCTTTTTAATGATAATATGCTGTGAGAAGGTTCTATTTTGGTAAATTGTGTTTAGTGTCCTGGAGGTTTCCTGTACCTGAATGGCAAAATAATCTGGAAATTTGAGAAATTTTTAAAATTTTTTTATTGACTACATTATGAATCCCTTTTGCTTGGACCTCTTCTCCTTATTCAGTATCGCAGGTTTGGTCTTTTGATTGAGTCAGTGAGTTCTTGCACATTCCTTTCACAGCTGTTGAGTTGTTTGACTAACATTTCTTCAATTTTTTTCTTTAATTTCTATTTTATCTTCAAATTTTGAGATTCTTTCTTCCATATGTTCTAGTTTGCTATAGTGGACTTCTACTGTGTTTTGTGTTTCTGTTTGATTCTTTTTTCTGAGGTTTTTCCATACCTTTGGTCACCTTCCCTTTAATATTTTTTAATTTTCATCTTTAATTCACTTATCTCTCTTTTTATAGCATCCTCTGTTTCACTTTAGTATTTTTTAGGGCTCCTCTGAGTTCATTTACTTGTTTCTGTGTCTTCTCATGTTCTTTACTTTTAGTGTCTTGAAATTTCTTAAGTGCATCTGTACATTTTGGGTAATCATGTCTTGTATCTTCTCCAATAATTTCTCATTGATTTCTTGCAAGATTTCTTCTTTGAGGGTGCTTTTGTGTGCGTCACTGGGTTCCTTAGTGTCATTTATCATTGTTTTGTTGGGACCAGGAATTGGGTATCCAATTTTTAATCCAACTTTTAATTTCCTCTTTTATTTCTTATATGACCCACTGATCATTGAGCAATATGATATTCAGCTTCCAATTGTTTGCTTATTTTCTGCTTTTTAAAAATTGAGTTCTAGTTTTAATGTATTGTGATCAGATAGAACACAGGGGATTCTTTCTATTTTTTTAATATTTACTGAGGCTTACCTTGCCAACAAATGTTGGCAAGGATTCAGGGAAAAAGGATCCCTCTGGAAAACAATATGAAGGCTTCATAAAAAAAAAAAAACTAAACATAGATCTGCCTTGTAATCCAGCAATACCACTCCTAGAGATATACCCAAAAGAATGTTGCTCAGGTTATTACAAAGGCACCTGCACACCCTTGTTTATTGAAGCACTGTTCACAATAGCCAAGTTATGGAAATAGCCAAGATGTCCCACTACTGATGAATGGATTAAGAAAATGTGGTATTTACACACAATGGAGTTTTACTCAGCCATGAAGAAGAATGAAATTTTGTCATTCACAAGTAAATGGATGGAACTGGAGAACATCATCTTAAGCGAAGTTAGCCAGGTTCAGAAGGCCAAAACTCATATGTTCTCTCTCATGTGCAGATTGTAGACCTAAAACAAATGAGGTCATATTATTGGACATGGTTCACACACTAAGGGGAGAACACACCCAGGAGGAAGAGGGAAAGAGAAGGAAATCTAAAACTTGATATTGTTGTTCCCACTGTAGAAGAGTGAATAAAGTAATCTTAAATTGCCAGAGGTCACTATGGGAAGGTGACCAGGAAGTAGTGAAGAGGTCTGGTAGAAATGAACCAATGTGGCTGTAATACACAAGTGCTTGGAAGCAATGCTAGGAATCTCTCTGTATAGTTATCTTTATCTCAAGGTAGCAATAATGCTATGTCTTTCTTATTATCTCTTATATTTTCTCTTCAATAAAATTGGAAAAAAGGACAGACAAGGTTCTGCCTGAAAGCGAGGGGGAGACCAGGGAAGGGGCAAGGGGCAGGGGGGAGAGATGGCCCAAACAATGCATAAACATATGAATAAATCTATAAACAATTAAAAACATAATACTAGGATGGCTGGAGTATGTCCCATAGCACTGACATGGCCATGATAATTGCATACTATAACTCCAGTTATAGTGGACAAAAGACAACAATGTCAATCACAAATTAGACTCAGGTGCCCAAGTAGGAACTCAGGAGAAAATTGATAAATGATGGGAAAATCTAAGGGGAAATTCAGTCACATATTTCTATACTGATTGAATTAAAGAATTCAAAGATTGCCTATGAGAGAAAGAGTATTACAGAAAGAAATAGGAAGAGAAAAGGGAAGGAAAGGGGTAGTTAGAGCAGGAAAGCATTTTGTGTAAAACAGACTAGAAGGGCATAAATGGAAAACAGGGTGTGTGGAAGGAAAAACCAATAGGGAAATAAGAACTTCAATGTCCAATTTTTGGAACAAGGGTCAGGGGTTTAATACTGAGAAAGATAGAGGTGAGGAGTGATTATAGGTTTAAAATAAAGGTGAAAAGATTCAGTAATCTCCCATAAAAAGTATACAGATAAAGGTCAACTCCTGAATTTTCTCCTAGATGCTGCAAGCCCTCCAAGGAATACATCAGCAGATGCAAACTCTCAGACAAAATGATGCAAGGTCAGGATCATGTGAGGAGGAAGTAACTGGTGCTGCAAGTATCACTGACCCATAACCTTGGGAGGCGTTTTTGATTCAGGCTGAAGCACTGTGGGAGGACAGTTATAACCCTGCTGACAGTAGTAATCTGCCACATCTTCAGCCTGGAGGTTGCCGATGGTGAGAGTGAAATCTATCCCAGACCCACTGCCAGTGAAGCGGTCAGGGACTTCAGATGGCCTGCTAGAGGCTGCGTAGATAAGCAGTTTAGGAGCCTGACCTGGTTTCTGCTGGTACCAGGCTATACCATTGTAAATATTCTGACTGGACTTGCAGTTGATGGTGACCGTTTCTCCTGATGACACAGCCAGGAAGCCTGGAGACTGGGTCATCACAATGTCCCCACAGGCACCTGCAATCAAGAATGTACAATGATCATACACACACAGAAACATGGCATTTAAATGCACTTTCTAATGGTACTGTAAGACAGCACAATATTTGGTCCATATTGAAAACAATCATTTCCCACTGTATCTTAAAATCATTTTTTCAACTTTACATAGCTGTTACTCTGAAGAAATTAAAGCACTGAATAAATTTCTCACCAGAGACCCAGAGCAACAGGGACATGAGGACCTGGGTCTGTGACACCATCTTGCTGCCCCTTCCTGACTGATGCAGCTCTGTTCTCAGTGCAAAGGCCATGTTTATAAATTGTGAGCAGTTTGACTTGGCCTGGAGGGGTTATGCAAAGCAATCAGAAAATAAGGAAGCAAACTGCCTTGGTAGTGGGTTGTGAAAGTAACTGATGTAAATCAAGAGCCAAAAATATCATCAAAGAGTGGGCAATTGTGCCACTAGAAAAGACATAGAAGTCAACTTAGAACCCTCAGGTCAACTTAAAAGCTCCAAATCACAAACCACTAGTTGATCTAAAGAAGGACTTTAAGAAGCTGAGGGAGGAAACTAAAGCTAAGCTTAGTTGAGGCCACCCTGGGATACATAGTGGGACACTGCTCAAAAACAAAAACCAAAAGAAGGTGTGGGGGGTTGTAACTTTAGTTTAAATAAATAAAGTTGTCCAAATGTGTTGAGCTTTACAGAAATGATAGATTAGGGACCTTGCATCATCAGTCTTGGTGAAATAATAAACCATGATAGAAAAACAGCAAAACAAAAGCAAAAAACAAACAAAAGGAAAAGAAGAGGACAGAAGCAGAAAGGAACAAAGAGAAGAGAAAAGAGATGGAGGGAGGTAGAGAGAGGAAAGGGGTCAAGAAAAGAAGTGAAAGGAGAAAAACAAAATGACAACTTTGAATAAATTTTTTTATCTATGACCAAAAAATGTCAAAATTCCAAAGTCCCTCTTATTCTGAAGCCATTGAAGAACACTGCAAACATTTGCGCTTCTGTTTCCATGATATGCATGGGCAAAGACAGGCCTAGAATTCACTCTGGAAGGAATCCTGTAATTATAATTAAAGCCTCTGGTAAAAGAGGGTCTAATCTCAAAGTAACTGTGAAGCAAAGAGAAACCAGAATCTATCCATTCCATAGATAGAGTAACCAAAAAGCTTTCCATTAATTGGGAAATGGAAAAAAAAGAGAAAAAAAAAAGAAATAAGATTACTTTGGTAAGTAACGGCTGCAAATCAACATTGCCAAGCATTTTTACCCTGGAAACACATGTCTAGAATGCAGCAATCTTGAAACTGGTTTAGCTTTACTAATAAGGTGACCATGAAAAATCCTATTCGGGGAAGAGCCTGAACATCCTAACTCCTCGAGAAACCTTATAATTTTTCTTTACTTAATTTTTTATTCATTTTTATCATCATATTATTGTTGTACTGGGCATACATCTTGACATCTACAAAAGTGCTTACAATATATCTTAGTTAAATTTACCCCTTCCATCATTCTCCTTTATCTTCCCTCCCCCCATTCTTGGAAAAGTTTCAACTCATCTCATTTTTCCACTTTCATACATGTGTACATATTTCCACCGTATTCACCCACCTAAACCCTTTCCTTATATCCTCCCACTGGTACCAATCCTCAGACAGGACCTGTTTTGCTTTCCTGTCTTCTGCTTTTGAAAAAAGACATTTTGATTTATTTAAGATATTTATACAGAGACTTTTCTTATGACATTTCCATGTATATATGTATTGTATACTGAACTGGTTTATTCCCTCCATTTTTCTCCTGTCTCCCTTAGTTCTCTTCTTCTGCTAATATCAAAAGGTTTAAAAATTCCATATCTATGCTTGTATAGAAAGTACATCAACCATATTCACCTTCTTTACTTCTTCCATTGGCCCTCCCCCTATTGTTAGTGTCCTCCCCTTAACATGAACTGTTTTTCAGTTTTGTCCTTTGTTGTTTAGGTGTCTGTTGCTGTTCAGTGGTGTTTCTGCTATGGTATTATACCTGTGCATGCACTGTGCATCAGTCAATGTAATACCCCTCTGCTAAACTTCCTCACCCATTCCCCCATCCTGTGTTAACAGGTTTCAGTGTGCTAACTTGTGTCTGTTACTACTCAGATAATAACATTGTTATTTGTTAACTTTCTTTCCTTCTTTTCCTTTTCCTTGGTCTTCTCTACCAGCCCCACTTTTACATACATGTTCTGTACATATTTATATGTGTATTTTGTATTGCCTGTATTTGTATTAAAACTATATTCCACATAAGAATGAAAACATGAGGTCTTTGGTTTTCTGAACATGACTAACTTCACTCAAGATGATGTTCTCCAGTTCCATCCATTTATCTGAAACAACAAAATTTCACTCTTCTTCATGGTTGAATAAAATTCCATTGTATATAAATACCAGATTTTTTAATCCATTCATTAGTAGTGGGGCATATTGGCATTTTCCATAGCGTAGCTATTGTGAATAATGCTGCAATAAACATGTGTGTGCAGGTGTTTTTGTCTTACATATAATTTTTAAGAGTCAATAGATCACTAAATCAGAGCTCTTTGGCATCTAAAAACAAAAAGATAATTTGAGTATGAATAAAAAGCAATAGAAATAACAAAGACCAAAGATGCTACCCAGATTTTAGTTTCCATAATTTATGAAAGCATACTTGAAAAATAAATTATAAACTTGGTATTATGTGCAAAATAAAGGAAACTAAGAAAACATAATCATTAGTCAATTGCATATTGACAGCACAGTCAATATGCTAGGATACCATAACATGGGAGAGCCAAACAGTATGTGGTTTAAAGACATTCCCAATTTCCAAGGCCAAGAATATGAGAGCTGAGCAAATGTGTCTAAATCAGTTTCTAGTGAGTTGTGATATGCCCTTGACCTTTGTTAAACTTTACAATTTTACTTCATGACTGCTCCAATGAGGTCAATTTTCTTTCTTTCATTTTATGAACTACTGCTCATTCACATTACATGGGTGGAGAATAAAATAGATTCTACAAACTCTTGTTTTTGTAATAAAAGATAACATGAGTTGGAGCCAGCATGACTAAGCCCTGGTAAAGGCACTCCCTGAGTATACATACTCAGCTTCTTGCTTTGTCCTCTCATGGAGGACAGTGGAGGCAGGGTGGATTGCTCGTTAAGAGGGCATCAATTGCATCATGAGGACTTCATCCTGATGACCTCAATGAAACCTCATTATTTCCCAAAGGACACACCTCCAAATACCATCACATTGGGCATTAGTCCTTCATCACATTAATACAATTCAGTTCTTAGTAGTTATCAAAGAGAAGAAAATTTTAATAAAATGTCAAAGCCAAAAGAAACCTAAAGAACTATGATGACTATATAATAAAGTATCCTGGGTGAGATCATGAAACATAAAAAAGACATTAATTAAAAAATAAGGAAATCTGAATAAAGTATGAATATGAGTAAATACAAAACACATGAAAGAATCCTTAGCTACTCACTTTCCCACAAATCAAGTTTCTACGATGTATTGTAAAAACAGGATGACAAATATGCTGGCTGAAAACAAGACAGATTTCTTTCAGAGTTTTGAAAACAGGAAGATAAAATTAATGTCTCTTCCCAGCTCTGTCCCAACACCTTTTCCTCAGTGACCATCTTGGATGAAGGCCTGGGAGAAGATTAGTCATAGATTCAAATTATACTATGATATTGAAAGAACAGAATCTATCTTGTTATTCTAACATATAGAATCTACGTTCAAACTCTAAACTCATGACCATGACTTTTCAATACCAATGAAATAAAAGAGTAGATATGGGAATGATTTTTCTATGATGATTTTAAAATGGCAAAATTATGCCTTGTTCATCTTATGAAGTTCTCAAGGTAACTCTTCTTTTAAGAAATTTTCTCAGACATTTTTTAAATATGGTATGTTTCACAAATTTACCTGCCTTGCTTGCACCAGGGCCATGTTAATTTTACCTGTATCATTCCAATTTTAGCATATGTGCTAGTGATACAAGTATGATGTATTTGGTATATTGTAAGAACATTTGTAAATGCCACAGTATACCCTCATCACAGCCATAAAAAAGATGTCAGTCAAAAAATGAGAAATGTTTTTATATGCAAATCCAAACCATTTTAAGATTTCACCTCACTCCTGTTAGAATTGCTGTCAGCAAGAGCACAACAACAAATATTGGCATGGATATGGGGGAAAAGGAAACTTCATTCTGCTGGAGAGAATGTAAATTAGTACAATCATTATGGAAAACAGTACAGAGGCTCCTCAAAAAACAAACAAACAAACAAAAAAAACTAAGAATAGAATTACCATACGATCCAGCAATACCACTCCCAGGGATATAATCAAAGGAAGGTAAGTCGGATTACAATAAAGGCACCTTCACACCCATGTTTATTGCAGCACTATTCACAGTAGTAAAGCTATGGAAACTGCCAAGATGCTACACTACTGATCAATAGATTAAGAAAATTTGGTATTTATATCAATGGAATTTTATTCAACCATAAAGAAGAATGAAATTTTGTAATTTGCAGGTGAATGGCTGGAACTAAAGAACATCATCATAAGTGAAGTTAGACAGGTACAAAAAGCCAAGGATGCATATTTTCTTTCATATGTGGAATACAAACCAAAAACAAATACAAGCAATATTGTGAAAAACATGTCATGCTAAGGGAAAGTCACACACAAGAGAGGGAGGGTAAAAGAAGTTAAGAAGGTGCATAAAGTTGATGTACTTCCTATAAAGAATGAATATAGAAGTTTTAAACCTGTTGAAATCACCAAAAGAAGGGGAATGTAGAAAGAAGAAAATTAGAAGAGATGAAACAATTGGGTTATGATACATATACATGACATGAAAATGTCAAAAGGAAACCAAAGTAATGCTATCATAATCCAACAAAAATGTAACTTTTCAACAAAAGTGGAGAACAGGAGGAGAGAACAGGTCCTGTCTGGTGGGCTGGTACCAGTGGGAGGGGAAGGGGGTGGAGAATGGTTGTACAAGTTTGAATATGGTGCAAATTTTGTGTACATATGTATGTAAATGGAAAAATTAGACCTGTTGAAACTATTTCAAGAATGAGGACAGAGATAAAGGAGAATGATGACTATGATATATTGTAATAACTTTTATAAATATCACAATGTACCCCCAGTACAATAATAATAAAAAATAAAGTCTTTGTGTTAATCTTACAGATAAC